TATATATATATATAATATATATAATATATATATATATATATATATATATATATAATATATAATATATATATATATATATATATATATATATACTTATATAAGAGAAAGTATACTTATATAACATGTTATATTTTATACATATATATACTTAATATACTAAGAGAGAGTATATATATACATACGTACAATACGATATGACATATTATACATATATAGAAATATATTATATAAGAGAGAGTATACTTATATATAACATATATACTAAGAGAGAGTATATATATACATACATGCATACATATACATATATAAGAGAGAGTATTCTTATATATACTTATATAGAAGAGAAAGTATACTTATATATACTATACATATATATACTTACATAAGAGAGAGTAATACTTAATATATGCTTATATACTAAGAGAGAGTATATATATACACACATTATGACATATTATACATATAATAGAAATATTTATATATACATATATTATACATAATTTATACATATATAAAATATATCTATATAATTATATATATTTATATATACATATATAATATAATACATAAAAATAAAATAATAAAAATAAAAAAATACACTATTCCGGGCCGGGCCGGGCCGGAAGAGCCGGCCCGGGCCCGGCCCGGAAGCCCAGACTTGCCTGGGTTTCCCGGACCGGGCCGGGCCACGACCGGACCGGGCCGGGCGGGCTCCGGCTGGGCGCGGGCCGCGGGGTTTTGGACAGCCCTAATTGTAACCTCCTGTCTTTTAAATCCATTGTTTTCGTTCAACGGTCCGAATAACACCTATAAAATGGATTTTAATCTGAAAAAGGAAAAATTGCTTCAAGGCCCAAAAAATAAAAATACAATGTGACCTCGCAGCCCCTGTATTATTTTTCATGTGTATTAGCCGAAAAAGGAAAAGTTAATGTGATTCTGCCCTTTTTACAATTTCCAAGAGAATTAATTCCCAAAAAACCCCAAACTACCTCTTCTTCTGCTTCTTCTTCTTCTTCAATCTTCTCCTTCTCTCTCATCTCCTCTCCACCCTCTCTCCAACTGCTGGAATACCTCAACACGCGACGCCGCCACCTCCGCCTCCCTGACCTCGTGTCGACTCCATCCTCAGTCGTAGCCCCCGCCGCCACATCGCTACCCTTCTTCCTCTTCTTCTTCTCCTTCTCTGTCTACCCGCCGTCTGGAGTTTTGAAGGGCTCCGTGCTCTCCCCGTCCTCGGCCCATCCCCCCCCCCCCCCCGAGATAGAGCAGAGTCTCCGTCGCCTCCATCGCCACGTCAGCCCTCCCCTCCAATCTCTCCCCGTCTGTCAAATCCTTGGCGGGTCCGGGATCTGATTCTGACGGCCTATCCGTCGCGTCGGTTGGTTAAGGGGATCGCAGCCGGAGTGTGGGTTGTTTTTGATGAGGTTGGTGAGATCATTAGGAGTTCTAATTTGTGTTTTTTTGCTTTGTTGGGTGATTGACAGATTAGTTGGGGGTTTAGGATTCGGGGACGGAGGGGTCGTAGTGGCGGAGAAGGGGTGGGACCAGTGGAGGGGTCGATGGGGACGGAGTCGAGGTGGGAGTTGAGGAGGGAGGGGTCGAGGCCGGGAGGGAGAGGAGGAAGGGTTGGATTGGGAGAGCTCAAGGTCTGGATGCGGAGGGAGGGGAGGGGAGGCGATGGAGGAGAGGAAGGAGACTGAGGGGGTGTAGTCGGTTGGGGTGGCGTGGGCGGTTGGGATTTGGAGTAGCGGCGGAAGGTCTGGAGACGTGATTCTTCTCTGTCGTGAAGGCATGGACGAGAACGGTGTGAGTTTAGCTGATCAAGAAGCAGACAACCACTCATAGATTGACATTTGGAGGCCAGCGTCTCGTTGACTATGGAAGATCAGATCACCGCTTCTCTAGTTCTCTGATTTGTAGTCATTGCGCCCGCAAAATGTATCTGATGCACCGCCAATTATACAAATAGACTGAAATTATTACTCATAATTATGTGTTTACTTTTTTAACTTTTTTTTCCAAAAGAAAAGTTTATTCTAGTAGTGTCGTGTGAGGTGTGATGATACATAGATATTAGTATTTTAGTCTGTATTGAGTAACATGTTCCTTTTGCATGAGATCAGGATAACATGTTCCATTTGTAATTTATTTGGTAAATATCATCAGAAACATGTTAACTTTCTTTGTTCGTTTGTTAAGTTACACTGGTAACATGTTAACTTTCACAGTTCGCTTGTTGTTAACTATAATATGTACCATGTTAACTTTAATTGGTAAATTGATAATTATATTCAGTAAACTGTTAACTATAATTCATTATCGTTAACTGTTATTTGTAATCCATTATCCGTTAACTGTTATTTCGGGTCATATACACGTTAATATAGTTCTCATTTAACATGTTAACTATAATACATAGCATGTTAACATAATCCGTTAACACATTAAAATATAGAAACTATAATACGTAAATTGATAACTATAATACGTAGCATCTAACACGTTGTTGTTAAACTGTTTCTCAGCCACGGCTGTTGTTAAAACCACCTGGATCACTTAACATAGGTTGTGATTGTTGTTTAAAACCACCTGGATCACTAACATAAGTGTGAATATGTGCAATTCTTCTTCTTCAGCAAGAGTTAACATGTTTATCCACAAGAGTTAACATGTTATCCACAAGAAGTTAACATGTTTGCCAACAAGAGTTAACATGTTATCCACAAGAGTAACATGTTATCCAGCAATAGTTAACATGTTAGCCATAAAGATGTTAACAAATTAGCCACAAGAGTTAACATGTTATCTACAAGAATTAACATATTAGCCAGCAAGAGTTAACATGTTATCTACAAAGAGTTAACATGTTAGCAATGGATTCAGCACGATGATTTATAACATGTTATCTATAAGAGTTAACATGTTTAGTATATTAATGTTAACTCTCTTTAATGTTAACTGTGAACGGCTCTGTAGTTGCTTATTATTTTGCGTGTTTAGATGTTAGCTTTCATGTTTTAGATTTTAACCCTCCGTAACTTATTGCTTGCTATGTCATCGTTAGTGATAACAGCACAATTACATACCCAAAACTACTGTATTTGCTCCGCGGGGGAAGACTCGATGACAAAGTAATGGAGGTCATCTTAGATAGATTACGGCAATGGTTACAGTTGCAGGAGAACGTTGCCTTAAAACAAGCCAGTTTATGGGATTGTATCTATATATTTCTGCGTAAGATCAATCCTCATATAATTAGTTAACATCTAAGTTCTTATAGTTAACATGTTAACCACAATAGTTAACATGTCTAAATAACCGTTAGTCACACAAATGAAGCATGTTAGCCAGCAAAAGTTAACATGTTATCCATAGAATTAACATGTTATCCACAAAAGTTAACATATAGCCACAAGAGTTAACATGTTATCCACAAGAGTTGACATGTTATCCACAAAAGTCAACATGTTACCATAAGAATTAACATGTTATCCACAAAAGTTAACATATAGCCACAAGAGTTAACATGTTATCCACAAGAGTTGACATGTTATCCACAAAAGTCAACATGTTAAGTTAATCGGCTATAGTTCACATGTAATAGGTAAAACTTAACAGCTAATTAACAAAACTTAACATTTAAAAGAAAAAAATTAACATTTACTCCACTATACTTAACATGGAACAAATAAACGTTAACAGTTAATTTTTTTATAGTTTACATTACTAACACTGTAAAAATTGAACTAACATGATACACCACTATAAAAATTGAACTAACATAAATTCACTTTATTCTTAAATACTTCCGTTCAAATCATAAAGCAATGGCATAAAACCAAACCTACATTCTCCACAATCAAGCTCTCCTCCACCCTAGCCTTCTTCTCCTCCACCTTCTGAGACCTCGTCATCTCGCAAGCAACACAAACTCCTCATAACTCCTCATAACTGAGCTCACCATCAGATCCATGAAATAGCTAAACCCAGTATCACGTACAATCTCCTCATAACTCTCAAAGAAAGAAACCAAAATCTCTATTTTCTTTGTTTACCCACTAAAGCTCACAAATTGCTAAAACCCACCAAAAATAAATCACCAAAGGGGGGAGGGGGGGATCAGACCCAATCTCTGCTCTTCTTTTATTTGTACACTATAAGCTCACAAATTGTTATAACCACCGAAAAAAAACATCACCAAAGAGAGCAAACCAGCTCCAATCTCTGTTTTCTACATGTTTTTTTTCACTTATAGCTCACAACTTGCTAAAAACGTCCATCAAAAATCAACACAAAATGAGAGAAAAAAAGGATAGAAAGCAACTCAAAAGGATGCACACATGCAGATAGGATAAATTTGAACCCAAAAGACTTCAGCTTTTCAAAAAACAACAAGGGGCCTTATCCCCCCCCCCTCCACCACCTCCGACCACCCCACCACCGATCCTACCACCACCAAACTCGGCCAATCCCAGCGATTCCAGCGACCCCACCCTATCCCTAGATTCCTCCAGATCTAGCGATTCCAGCGGAAGAAGAAGAGGCGGCGCGATGGTGGCGGCGGGGTCTACGACTGAGAATGAAGTCGTAGAGGTCGAGGGGAGGCGGAGGTGGAGGAGGTGGCGGCGGTGTTGGAGGTTCCCAGCGAGGTTGGAGAGAGAGGGTGAAAGAGGAGATGGGTTTGTTGGAAGAGAAGAAGAGATCTGGAGAATGAGAGGGGTAATTTGGGGATATATTCCCTTAGGAATTGTAATTGGAACTGAATCACACAGAGTTCTCATTTTTGGGGCTAATACACATGAAAAATAATACAGGGGGCTGGGTCACATTGTATTTTCATTTTTGGGGCCTTGAAGCAATTTTTCCCTGAAAAAATATCTATACATCCGGTAGATTCACTAGTGAAAAATCACGAAATTTATGAAAAACGTCCAAGAGAACCACACCACGTGCATCCCACGCGTTTTTCTTCCTGAGATTTTGAAATCCATTCGAACTCCCAAAAAAAAAAAAAAAACCCCAAATCTCCAAAAACTCCACCTGTGATTTCAACAAGGATTCCTCTGCCTCTCTCCTTGCCTCCCTCTCCTTCACTGAGAGTGAAGACAGAACGAAGAAGAAGAAGAAGGAAAAAATAGAGGGCGAGAGAGAGAGGGGGAGATAAAGTAAATATAGAAGCGATGGAAACCCTAATGGTGGAGCGAGTGCAGAGCAGCCTTCGATCGTTCATGAACAAGAACGCCATCTTCCTCTGCGAGCGCCTCTGCGCTGAATTCCCCTCCGAGGTTTCCTCTTTAATTTCTTGATTTTAGGTTTTCTTCACCATGGCAAGCTAGGGTTTTACTAAATTGATTGGCTATTTGGGAACGAACGGTCGAAATCTAGGGCTTTAGTTGTGTTTTCTAACAGTTATTGTTATCTCTTGAACAAAGGCCAATGATTATTTATTTGAATTGGTAATTTCGTGTTCCTTGTTGCTTCCTTTTCTCTCTTCTGAAGCGGGCTTCTATTTGCAGCGTTTAGGCTTGGACTTTCGATATTGAACTGATTTTGATGGTTAAATCTTGAATGCAGCTAAATTTACAACTGATGGCGACTTGTTATTTGAGAAATAACCAAGCTTATTGTGCATACCACATTTTGAAAGGTAGTTTTTACATTATAAATATTTATTTATTAGCTGATATTCCTTCATTTCCACCTATAGTTTGCAATGGTTCTATGTCTCCTTAAGTTCAAATTGCGGACCTGTTTTTGATTGATTGCTTGAAATATTATTGGTTTACCACTTAATGCCGGAACTAATGTATGCTGGAACTGATGTATGTCTTTTTCTTTTTCATCATCAATGAAGGAACCCGGATGCCTCAATCTCGGTACTTGTTTGCATTCTCATGCTTTCAGATGAATCTTCTCCGTGAAGCTGAAGCAGCACTATGTCCAGCCAATGAGCCGAATTCAGAGGTAGCCATCCTTTATTTTTGTGTCTCCAACAGCTGTTCATAAAAAAGGCATATCTAGACAATGAAAGCAATGCAGCTTCTTGCAATATCTTCTGTAGTTTTGTTTAATACTTGAATTATTTTTCTGTTGATATTGGGGATACTTGATGAAAAGTTGTATTTCAATTTCCATTACACATGTGGGAATCCATTATATTGCATTAGTGAATTCCATTGTTCGATTTTCCTTTTGGTCTTATATTTGCAGAACTTGTCGTTCTAGATTATGTACATTCATCCTATGTCTACTAATTTTTTGAATCTATTCTTTAATCTCATTACTGATGTTGGTTTCTTCCTCTCTGAGTTCAAGATGACTAGCTTTGGAATTTTGGATTCTAAATATCTAACAACTATAATTTGAAAGCATCTTGTCAGACACTTTTTAAAGCTGTTGATGACTGGTAAAGATGAGCCTACTAGGACTCCCAGCTATTATTGATTCATACTTCTGAGCTTTTACTTGCTTATTTGGCTTTTATAATTTTAATATGTTCAATATTTTCTCTACAAATAATTGATTATTCTTGTGTCCTTAATACAGGTTCCTAATGGAGCAGCTGGCCATTATCTTCTGGGTCTTGTTTATAGGTCTATCTTTTTTACCTTGAACACTATATACTGTCAAATCCCTCATGCATTCAATTGTTTTTCCCTTTCAAACTTTAGTTCAACAAATAAGTGTAAGAGTGATTGGGAGCAAATATAAACTATTTTAATTTTTAATCCCTATTGACGTATCTGCTAGTGTTTCTTGTCATCCATTTGCGTTTTTCTACTATGCATAATCAACATGACAGTGATGTCAGTGTTAACTTCTTCTAGTAATTGAACTTCGAAATGTGTGAGAAATAGCCTTATGCTTCGCTGGTAGGTAGCCCTACAGTATCTCAACATGAGTTCCAAATTGTATTAGTCGTAGCTACAATTGTAACATGGAGGGAAGTCTGTATTCCTTTTATAGCATATATAAACTTGCTCGAATCCATATTCTTTATAAATTCAAACTTAACATGAGTGCATGACACTAGAAATAAAAATAGTTACTTTATGTTGCTACTTGTTTCTGATTCAACTTGAGGCAGGCGGTCAGGGGGCATAACATTTCACCTGTGATTGAAATTAGCTTAGAAACCAGAAACTTTTCCTTTATAATACATTATTCCATGTTCTTCTCATATTTTGTGTTGTGATGATAAAATGCATGTGCCTCTCATTGTTCTCAAGCATGATTTTGCAAAGTGGACATATCTGTGAATGCACACATTTGCGTTAGCATTTGCTCGGTTCTGATTAGACAGGCAACCTATATATTAGCTTTTAATAATAAAAGTATGAATACTAAAATAAATTCAGAAAGATCTCTACATTAAGTAAAAAAATATTATTCTCAGTTGGAAAACTTTTATCTGTATGTGGTCAGTTTGGTAATACAATCTTAGTTACCAATTTAATAAGCTTGTCAATTATCTGTACTCACTGTTTAGAGGATGCTATTAGGCTGGACAAATTGTTCTCAGTTCACCTACCAATTTTTTAGCAGCTCAGAATCCCCATTCCAAGTATTCCTTAGCAACCCTTCAACTACTTGAGCACTCCAATAACCTCTTTAGCAAGCACTCAACTACTTGATCTCTCCCAATCACCTTCTTTAGTGCCTTGGTGGTTGCCAAGGTGTCTATCTAGTATAGCGTAGGTATCCCTAGTTGAGTTTCTGTTCCTGAGGAAGGATGCCAGGCATGTATAACTCTTTCTTGATTGACTGTCATCTCTACACCTCTTACGTGATGGAGCAAGTTTTGGCTTTGAAGCAAACTAAAAAAAGAGATGGTTTCATAGACAACCAAAATTTAACAAATATTAATGGTTAGAAAATTATAAAATTAACATGTTAGCAGGGGCGGATTTATATACTTGGCTTGGGGTGCAGTTGCACCCCTAATATTCTGAAAATTACTATAGGAAGCATTGACAACAACCCTAACATGGTCTATTATGTCATATTCTTGGAGACAAGGGAAGGGCTTGTCACAAATTTCTTAAGTATCGTTAGCGGACACTTTTACATTTGTACTCTTATACTGCGAGGTCTAGTTTCACCACAGTTTGTACTACTGTTTTAATTTTAAAAGATGTCTAGTGGCTGTAGCTTCTGGTTATTTTCATTTCTTGTAAAAGATTAAAAGACAGTCCAGTCACAACTATGTATTTGACATTTCAGGTACACAGGTAGAAGGAGCAATGCCATCGATCATTTTATGCAGGCTCTGGCTCTAGATCCTCTTCTATGGGCTGCTTATGAAGAACTATGTATACTAGGTCAGTGTTAAGCATGTTTATGGTAGTGTCCAGGATCATATGTTCTTGTATGCGTATGATTATAGTTATTTCATGGGTTTTTTACTTCTTTGTTGGTAATGCCATGAGCGGATTATAGAAACTACTTGTTCGCAATGTTTTAAATATAAGCCGATTTTATCGATTTATCGCCGATATATAGGGTTTGGGCTATGGCCGATACGATTTTTGCAAAAAAATATCGCATATAGTTTTGAGCCGATTTTTCCTGATATATCGGTGTAAATCTGATAAAGCGGCCGATTTTTCGTGGGCTAAAATCACCTGATTTTCTACAATTTACATTCTTAGTGAAATGGTTTGCGTTTGGAGACAAAAACCCTCTTTTTTCCATATTCGACCCACATACTAAACAAGAACAATACTATCCTATTCTATTTGCTTCCACTAAACAAAAACAATTGGTAAGTGATCCTAAACATGTGTTATTTACATATTAGTATGTTTATGTTTCATTAAATGTGCTTAGATTACCTAAACATGTGTTATTTACATATTAGTATGTTTATGTTTCATTAAATGTGCTTAGATTACTTTTTAAGACATTATATTATATATGTTACATATTAGTATGTTTATGTTTCATTAAATGTGCTTAGATTACTTTTTAAGACATTATATTATATATGTTCACCATTCGATGTAACACTCCGATTTTTACTATTTATCCCTGATATATCCCGATAACTAGGATCCAATATGAATTTTGGCCATCCGATATATTTCCGATAACCGATATTAAAAACATTGCTTGTTCGTAATACTCCTTAACCTCATAAAAATTTCAACATTCTCCAATCTTTGGCATGTAATGTAATACTAACTACACATGTGGATGTGGGTATTTGATGCTCTCTTGTTATCCAATATTTGGCATGAAATTTAATACTAGCTACACATGTGGGTATTTGATGCTCTCTTTTTAATTACATTTTTGCAACATTGCCTTGTTTTGAGCAACTATAGCATGCATGATGCTGAGGTGCTGTAGAGTATTATTCCCATTCTGCAGGAGGGCAACAAGTTGAATCTTCATCTTTGATTAACTTACCACACATCCTCAAAGCAGCACAGGAATGATAAAAATAAACAAGGAAGAAGGGACGAAAGGAACATACAGTCCTACTCTATCAGAAGCAATAGCAAATAGCAAGAACATTGACAATGATAAAATTTATTGCCAACCTTTTACCACTATTCTTGTGCCACAAAGTTGAAGACCATAGAATATACCAAATCTAGTCATAACATGTCTTGTGGTTTATAAACTCATATAAGTAAGCCACCATTATCCGTTGGCAAATATTTTCTGATAAATCAGGTTGCCCTTCTGAATGAGGAACTATCCAGATTCCAGGAAAATATTGTCCAGTACTTCAGCTCGGCTTCCTTTGCCAAAGTAAGTCAATGGCAACGAACCTTGTGTCCTCAATGATGCATTTGTGCTGTTATTTTACCTACATCTGCTGAATGATCAATACTAGCATCTTATGCTCCTTAGCATGATCATGGTAGCAGCGATCTACCTACAGGCTCGGGAGGATTCCTGAGAATGGGAGCCTGATGATGAGTGTTAATGGGCATTTAGCTGAATTATTGTTATGGGGGATGGAGGTTGACCTCCTGCATATCCTAAAAGATTTTTTTTTTCTTTCTAAAAATGCCAATTATCCATACTTTCTTACTGTAGAATGTAGAGCTCTTTTGAGGTACATATGACTCAGCAACAGATATTCTCATACAGGAATTCTAGTTTGAGACTTGCATATGATTCTTGGAGGGCAGTTAATCATTTTCTGTTGAATATGTCTCCTTCTTTATGATGTCAGTAGCGTCTATGGCTTCAGATATTTTCTAACCATCTCAATTTCAAATATCCTAATGGGTTTAGATGTCTGCTTTGAAGGCAAAACATTTACATGGATGAATTTGAGTTCGGATAAATGGTGGTTGACTACTATCATGCAACTGAAACTTTAATCCTTTTTTCCAAAGTTTGGCCACTGTCTTATCTGTCACTAGGCTCACGTTGTGTGCATGGACTGATAGATTCCCCTTTGACTTAAGAGTCAATATGTTCGGTATGACTTCGTTTAGACATCCTCCTTGAATCAATTCAGCTAGATTGGCAAATGTAATAGGAGAAAGTTTGTTTTGATTCAGCAGTTTAATCATGTCTCAGTTTTCTTCAAAATGTTTGAAGTTTGTGTGGTTTGTTAGTCGTTAGATGTCTCAGGGGAAAGACTCTATAAGAGAGTAAAATCCTGTAATGGTGAAAATGGAGCGAGACAACTGAAATTTCTTTGGAAGTCCAAGAAGCTATGCTCCAACCTGTTGTTTAGTTTCTAACCTAGGCTGTGAGTCTATTCATATAGGTTCTCCTATTCATTCTGAACTATATATGTCCCTCCTTCCTTGGATCTTTATGGGAATCAAGCACATGGATCTGTATTTTTTTTCATTGTTATGTAAGTGAACATTTCGAGCTATTACAACATTCATGCATTTTCTTTTTTGTCATATCCATATATTTGCATGCTAATGTATTAACATGTATTATCACATTTCAGGTGCGGCAGAAGAAGCTAATGAATGTTTTAGTGATTCAGTTGTTGCACGCATCTATGACCAACATTTATCTGAACTGTCTTCTCAGAACTTGTATCTGGGCAGTGAGGACCGAAGTTTACCATCTAATCGGTTAATAGCCTCTGGGGATTCTAGTCCAAGGCAATCAAAACAACTGCCTGCAAACAACTTGCGAGATCCTCATGGCATAACGGGATCTGGGCAATCTTCAAATATACCTAATTTGTCACAATATAACACTCCTTCTCCAACAGCTACCCAGGTGAATATGACAACTTCATCATTTGGTCATATATCTTTTTACTTTTTACATACGTACTTGTTGTCAACTAATAGTTGATAGAGACATTGCATGAGACATTTGTCAAATCACTATATCTTTCTTATCATGGCATAATGTGATCTGGGCTATCTTCAAATAGGCCTAATTTGTCACAGTATAACACTTCTCTAACAGCTACCCAGGAGAATATGATTACTTCATCACTCTTATCTTTCTCATCATGAACTGATGAAAGCAATAAAGCTTTTTCTTGATAACCTTTATGCTTTCAGTTCCTCTGTTATATAGTTGAATTTCATTCTCTTCAACTGTATCTTAGTTATGATATTCATAATTCTCATAACGAAATAATGTAGACGCCTGGGAGTTTAATCTGTGGATCATTGGCCTATGCCCCTGTTAGCATTATTACTGCTGTTGGAATCTCGCAAAGTTGTCCAGTCACATGTTTAGAGAGATGATTCCAATTTTTGCATATTTATATTACAAGTTTTTATAATGTTGTCTGTACAAATGATAGACAACTGTTAAGTTAGGCTGATACATATTTCATCACTCAATATGGCAACCATATGTTTTAAATTTCTTATAGAATTAGCAATGGATGCTCTCTGGTATGTGGTATCTAGAAAACCCTTTCACATTTCACCAGTTATAGGATGTAGAATGTTGCCATCTAATTCAACAGCTCTTTTTTATTTCTATTATTTACAATCTTTGCTTTCTGATGGTTCTTATGAATTATATCATTGATCCTCAGATTTTGAGTAAGTGAGTTTCATTTGTATAGTACGGCTTAAACTTGTTTCAAGTAAATCATTGATTTCCTCATGTTCCTGCAGTTGTCAGGGGTAGCTCCACCTCCTCTATGTAGGAATGCACAACAATACCTGAATTCCAATGCACTTGGTGGTGATGGCTCTTCCAGGTTGAATGCAAATGCAGCAATTCAAGCCAGAAGGAAGGTACTGGATGACGGGAAAATACGGAAGGTAATATCTTTCTTTAGTTACTGTCATGATACTCTTGAAGAAAATACTCTTAACATATTATATCTGCCTCACCTTTTCAACTTTCAACTTCCAAAAGTTTTTGAAGAGCCTGCTCATATGCTTATTGCTTATGTTCTGGAGCAATCATGTCCTACTTCTCACCATGTTGAGTATGAACTAATGTTTTTTCATTTGTTTGGTATGAGTTTCCTTGCTTGTGGATTCATATCTCCGAATTTATTTAAGTCACCACCTAATATGGATGGAGGGTTCAACTTTTTTTGTTCTGCAGCTTCGGCTTATTTTTTTGGTGCAATACAAGATTTTGTATTTGTTGTTTAGTTCTGGCACTATTCATGACATGCTAATCAATGTTATCAAAGACGCCCGCCTCATTGCGCCCTGCGATGTGAGGCGGTGGCGAAGTGCCCCGCATTTGAATCGTAAGCATCTTTTTGCGCTTCGCATGTACTCGGACAAGGCGCACACAAGGGATAGCGTCATATATTTTTGTGCCTTAACATTTCAATTTGGTCTTTATACTCGATAACCCACATCCCCAAAACATATTAGGCCATTTTAGTTGCCTGATTGAGGAACTTAACTTGGTCTCATTTACTATTTGAATTTTATTCGGTTTTAGACTTGATTTGATCTTTGATTTGAAAAATTATGAACTTTACTACCATGTGGAGTGTGTTAGCGTTACGAAGTAAGACTTATATTATGATTTGGTACTAGATTATTTATTCTGACATATTTTTATGTGTAAAATCATAAACATTTCCTTCATTTTTTATTATATATCTTGAAAAATTATGTGTGCAACATGTGACTCGCTTCACTCGGGTGCTTGCATCGCGTTGCGCTTTTCACATGTGCCCTTAAAGGGACTTTGCACCCCGCATTGCACCTCGCGCATTGATAACACTGATGCTAATTAAATGATAATCATTCCACTAAGCTCCTTATTTCTTAATTTTTAATGTTATGTTTCAGTAGTAAATGCGTATAATTTATCCATGCCACCACTTGTTATGGCTAATTTGTTTGTTTTTATGATCATAGAGATTGATTGCTTTTATTATTTCTTTTTCATTGTGGAACGGGAACCACCAAATTTAGCAAACTAACTGTTGCAACCAGATCCTATGCTAGATGCATTATCACTTCCCTTATCGTACTTGAAGATGGTTAGACACTTTTGAGTTCTAAAATCTTCCCAGTTTTTTATTTTTGAATTGTAGAGCCTTAGTGAATTCATTGTTTAATATTTTGTATGATCTTTCATGAAGCATTAATACAGTGTCAGAGCCGGAAAAAAACAACAACTTTAATTCTGTTTTCTTCTGACAACTATATCAACTTTAGCAAACTAATTGTTGCTACCAGATCACATGTGAGATGGTTTTAGAACTTCTATGAGGCATTGTCATTTTCCTTACTGTACTTCTATGTTACCTGGGTACTTCTATCTTGAAGCCATACCCATACCCACCACGTACCCATACCCATACCCAAACTCCTTGGACACTCTTTGCATATATATGCATACGGGCATGTACTCAATTAAACAATAGATGATTTAATTTAGAATGCTTGCCAAATGTTTCTTGGATGTAAATCCTACACTTTAGATCTACTTCTTGAAACTCATTGGGTTTTAGACTATGATTTTAATGGTCATTGGGGTGTCTGGTTAAAAAAAACGTTTTTACAATTTATAATCCCCAATAAAAGAAACATAAAAGATATGATAGTAATTTTAATTGTCATAATACGTGAATAAAAAGTATTGATCTCATGCTATTTATTAAAATATATAACATATGTGTATATGATTATTTATATAGCCGTGTCCCGTATTCTACCTTTTACTAATTTCCTGTGTCCTGTACCCGTACTGGTACCCGTACCATACCCATACCTATGTAACATAGCTGTATTTGAAGTCTGAAGATGGTTTTAGTCACCCCGAGTTCTAAAATCTTCCAGCTTTTGATTTTTGATTTGTTGAGCCTTAATGAATTCATTCTTTTATTATTTTTTTATGACCTTTCATGAGGCATTTTTACAACATCCAAAAAAATGTTTTCTTCTGACAACTATATTAATTTCTTTTAAGAGATGGGCTGAATTCTCCTTTAAATCAGATTATCAATTTGGTAGAGTATTCTAAGTTATATTGAAAACTTACGCTATTCTAATAAACAATATGCTTGGATGTCAAACATTGTAATGCAGGTTTCTGGGAGACTATTCTCTGGCTCGGATTCAGGATTGAGACGAAGCACAAGACTTTCTGGAGATGCAATGGCCAATGCAAACTCAAATGGGTCTCAAGTAGGAGGAACTAGCACAAGCCATTCCTCTTCAAAATTTCTTGGAGGAATATCCTTATCATCTAAAATGAATTCGGCGGTTTCTCGCAGTTTGACAAATCGGAAGGGGCAACAATGGGCTTCTGAAAATTTTGACGAAGGTAATTTACGAGCCCATTTGGAAAACAAATTTTATCTTAAGTTGCTGATGATAGTGATTGAATTCGATATTTTAGTTAGAGCTGGGCGTAATTTTTTATGATTTTTCTCCTTTCAAAGCAGCCTGGTGTGTTGGTTCACTTGAATATTTGTGATCACATATCTATTCTAGTATTAGATCTCCCAGGTGTTGGCTATATCATGTTTTGAAGCTGCAAATGTTAACTCGCTCGTCAGATAAAGGCCAGTTTTTGTCTTATTATCATGTTGATGCACATTTTCTATTAGTTGGTAAAATAATTTCCAAGTTGAGGAGACTATGATTCTTTCCATATAACCTTCAAAAGAAATTTGGCCATTAGGAGTTTTCTATTAGTTGGTAAAAATAATTTTCTGAAGCATCTATCTTTTCCGTATCCCTCAAAAGAATTTTGTATATAAGGAACAGAATCAAGCAAGCAACTCAACATCCTTAACAAGCTTGATGCAAACTTTGTATTGGATGTTAAAATGTGAAATAATTTTTTGTCCATGTCCATTTAAGGTTTTGAGTATAGCCATTACAAACATAGTTTTGAGCACCAGGTTGAAGGTCAAGGGTTCAAACCTTCCGAAAACATAAAACTTTTTCCTTCTGTCTTCTCTATGTAAAAGTATGTAGCGGTGTTCCGTGAAGATTCACCATGTTATCTATGGATTGAGTGGTTACCAACACTTTTCTTCAGATTTCTCTTTTGCAACTGAACAACGCTTATAAGGGAGGGAAAATGTATAGTATTACCTTCTAGATAGACATTCTAAATTTGTTTGGCAGTCCTCACACTTAGCAAGTGAGTTTTTTGCCGGGCTTTTAAATATATGTTGCTTTACATAAAACATGCAGTGTGTGTTTGCTCTATGCCTCATATCTATGGCCTGGTAAGAAAGCTGTACCCACTGTTTTAAAAAACCTCCGTCTAGTCCGTTTAGGCGTACGCCTAGGCCTAGGCGGTACCTAGGCCGCCTAACTAGCGCCTAGCGCCTAGGCGGTATTTAGGTTGCCTACCTAGGTTTTACGAGCGTTTAGGAAAACATTATCTGCTTACGTGGATTGCACCCTGTAGGCCTTGGTTGTGATTTTGTGTTGTAGCCTACACATCCTCTAAACTCCATTAACCTCCAAATATGAACACCTCCACTACCTCCTCTGACCTTCAGCAAAACCTCATCGACCACCACTTAAATGAAGAAAGAAATCCGTCTAGACACCAGTTCGGCATCTAAGCTTTCTATAACATTGACATTCACTATCAATTATTATAATTAAAAATAAAAAAAGAAAACATCTTAGGCTCTAGCCTTGTTAATTATTATTTTGGCTATTTAGTATCTAAGTATGCATGATTTATTGTGGAAATAAGATTGCTATCTTTTTTTTAAAAATTTATATGAATTTAATACATATATTTTTTAATTATTATAATTAAATAATTTAAAAATAGTCAAACGCCTAGGCGCTGCCTATGCGTACGCCCAGGGGTCTAGGCTCTAGACGCTCGTTCAAACGTCTAGCCTGCCTAGCGTATTCTGTAACATTGTCGAGCTTCCCCGATCTCTGTAACTACTAACAAGGTAAATAGTACTTCTTAAATATCTATTTAAGTTAGTTAACAACAGTAACTTAAACTTAAGATGTGTAAGTTAACAGTAAACTTAAGTTTAAGTTTAAGTTTAAGTTAAACTTAAGTTTAAGCTAACAGTAAACTTAAGTTTAAGTTTAAGTTAATATTAAGTTTTTTGTTGATGATAAACTTAAGTTTAAGTAAACAGTAAACTTAAGTTAACAATATTTTAGTTAACAGTAAACTTAAGTTTAAATTTATTGTTAACTTAAACTTAACGGTAACTTATAAGTTAACAGTAATTTGAGTTGAGAATGAGTTTTTCACTGTTGAGATGAACTTATAATTTGAGTTGAGAAGTATAAACATACAAAGAGCTATTGTAATTGGTAAACTAAACAATTTAGTTAATAGTATTGGTATTTTAGTATTTATGCATCTTTGATTGAGTATATATATATTTATCTTCAAGTATCACAATTAAAAAATAAAAAAGAAAAAAATATCTAGAAACTGCTTAGGCGCCCGCCTAGGTGACTAAGCGCTGGGCGCCAAATCTGACGCCGAGAAACGCCCAGCGTTTAGTATAACATTGGTTGTACCTAGTCTAAGACCACCTTTGCTTTGGCTTCGTTGTGAGAGTATCCTTGCATAATTCACTTGGAGGCTATGTTACACGGGTACTTCTATAATGAAGCCGTACCCGTACCGGACACGTACCCGACACTTTCCCGTACCCAAACTTCATGGACACTTCTTGAATATATGCATGCATTTATTACAACATGTACTCATTTATACGATATATGTGTTAATTTAAAACATTTGTCAAAGACTTCCTGGACGTAGAGCTTACACTTCACATCCGTCTTTTGAAACTAATGAGATACAGGTCGGGTTCGTTTCAGTCCATACCCAAGTTCAAAACTATATAGTTAATGGGTCGTTTAGATGTCTAGTAATTTACAATTCACAATAATCAATATGATAAAAGAAACTCAAAAATGTAATCGGAATTTTAATTCTAATGACACATGAAGCAGGAAAATTATATCTCATGTACATTATTAATTCAATATATATATGTAGCCGTTTCCCTGTACCCTACATTTTACAATTTTGCCATGTCCCCTACCCGTACCCGTACCCGCACCCGTACCAGTTCCCGTGCCTGTTTCCATGCAACTTAGCTTGGAGGCCTTATTATCATGGTTCATCTTTTAAGTTCCTGTTCTGGAAAAATTCTGTTCATGTTTGTTGGCCAAACACCATTCCAAGTGTTACCCAATTTATGTGATGATAGGAAGGAGATCTGAAGTTTTTGATGATCTGCGGATGGATAATGGTGCAACTACTGCATCATCTACCTCATCATTTGTGCCAACCTTTCATGATGGTAGAAGTAACAATCAAGAAAGGCTAAACTATCAGATGGGTGGAATGTCGCATGACTCAAAATTGGCTAATGGCATAGTAGAGTTGTTGGGCCTCTTAAGGATTCTTGGAGAGGGCTATAGGCTGTCTTGTTTACACAGGTCCCAGGTATAATATTATCGGCATAAAGAATGATATGCATCCTTTTCGCATATTCGTTCATTCATTAGTTGTCATTTCTTATTTGAGCAGGAAGCACTGGAGGTATATCTAAAACTTCCACAACATCAATATAACACTGGGTGGGTGTTATCTCAGGTAATTACCATTTGAATTTGTTGTGTACTATCTCTCATTTAGTTCTAGGATGTCATTTTCTGTGGAAGTTATTTCTAGTTGATGATCAACGGCTCCGTAAGAAAGCTAAACTGCGCATAGTTTAGTTAGTCATCCTTATTACTCTTGTAAAAGTTTGTAATTCCAATTAGGATGAGTAGTCTTAATATCGCAAAGCATAGGTTGGGGGCTGAAGATGATTTTTCTTATTAGTTCATGCTATAAGCTTTTCTTGGGTTGTAACTTAGCCTTTCTGCATTTTTTCTTGAATGACTTACAAGTCATTCATTTTAAGCTTTAGAATATCATAATTCTCAGGGAAGCCCTGGGATGAGTATTGAAATATTGTACTTGATTTTTAGCTATTATGGAGACTTAATTCATGATAAATTATTACCATGCTCAGATCTAGTAATCCTTTGTGCATCTTAAGTTGATATGCATGCTTCTGAACTCTGAATTTCTGTTTTGTTTGTGGTATGAATTAAAGATAGTGGGTTAAATTCAATGCAGGTTGGTAAAGCATATTTTGAATTAGTAGATTTTCTTGAAGCTGATCGTGTCTTTGATTTGGCACGCCGATTATCACCATATATATTAGAAGGCATGGATATATACTCCACTGTCCTTTTTGTAAGTTACATTCTTTTCTTCTTATTATCTTTTTTTACCTCTACATTTGATTAGTTTACCCACTGCTGGGTGTCTTCCGTTATGGTATTTCACAAGGGGACCCTATTTCTGTTCACTTAAATCTGCAAATATACTTTGAAGAAGAAGGCCCTCTGCTTCCTTGTTTTAGTTTTTTATTTTATTTATTAGAATCCTTCACTAATGGGTTCCTTTCTGATCTAATCCTGATACAACCGCACTAACTACCATTACCTTATTGTTATACTTTAACCCGTACTTTCTCATTTCAGCCTTTCAGGCATGAAGTTAGATTAGTTTTCACATATAGGTGAATATTGGCCTCACCTGTTTTCTTGCACTCCTTACTTATGTTGAAGTTCTCTTTATAAGTCTCAAATCTTTGTATCTATCTGCTTCCTCAGCAACGTCACACTCATAACCAGCTAATCCAGACCCTTGGATGAAAACCTTTAATCATTGAAGCTTCCTTAATTTTGGTTGTGTTGGCTGAAACCTTTAATTAATTCTCTAGTTCTATTTAAATTTGTTTGCTGTGACATTCAAGACCTTCTCTACCAACTTGTGTAGGAAACCATGGAGCTTGTGCATTTCAAACATCTTGGAGGAATGTTTTATTTTTAAATGCGAAATTAATTCGTAGAGATTTAATGACATAAATTTTGTGGAACAATAGACATGCTTCATAAATTATTGTACTTAGGATGGTTGTAGGATTTCAAGTTCTAAGGTAATGCATGAGAAAGTGGAATGCCTGATGAGATGCCTGCCTCTGCATCAGAAGCATCCCGTTTTCTTATGGTTTCCTTGGGAAGCATAAGTTATTTGAGCAGATTCCTTGCTAATACTTGGAACATGGTTTATGGACTGTTTATAATAAATAATTCTGTAGATTGATGGGGTTCTGAGTTGAAGCTGAGGTGCACATACAGTTGCACGAATACTACCATCATCATTATCTCCTCTATCCAGATGATGATGCTAACTGATACTTTTCTTCATGTTCCCCTTTTTCCTCGTAGCACATAGTTTCATTGTTTCTACTTTGTCTGCTTATGTTCTCTTTTCTTATATTCTTCTTTTCAAGAATTTTCTAACCCGAACATATTCCTTGGTTTATACTGTCATTTAGCTTGTATGATTAGGCAGTGATACTTTTGCCACCAAACAAAAAACTGTAAAGTTTGCTATTCAAACAATACTTTGTATGTGCCCTTTACCCATTTTCCGGGAACAGATTGGAAGACTTATTTTTTGTTGTGACAATAGGTTTTTTAATTGTTCGACTGCAGCTGGAGTCTTCTTAGTTACTCTTATTTATGTGATATAAAATTTCATACCTAACAGTTAACTTTTGTCTACCTTGGTAGCATTTGAAGGAGGAAATGAAGTTAAGCTATCTTGCTCAAGATCTTATTTCAACTGACCGATTATCCCCTCAAGCATGGTATGTAGGTTGAAGGTTACGACCATCTGTGTTTGTTACTATGCATACCTATTATATGATTCATACACACATCATATACAGTCATGAAATAGGAGCAAACATACATGCATCATATACACTGGCTGGACTACTGATGTATGTGTTTGTTTATTAGTTATTTCCTGGCGTAATGTGTTATTCACAGGAGTGTTAAATGTTTGTGTGTACCACTCGTGTGTGCACGCCCATGTGTGTGTGTGAATGTGTTAGACCACGGAGTACTAATACTTTGGTCTTTGTGCATGGTTTAAAAAGTGGAACAGGCCATATCTTGTGATTTCCTATTCAGTTTAAATTTGGATTGGGTGTTCCCCCCCCAAATACCTACTTAATGCTTTAATGCACACTTCAACTCAGAAAGGAAAAAAAAGGGGAAAGAGAAAAGAAAGAAAGGATTCAACACTTTACTTTTCCAAATGCCCCAACATATCTCTTGCACTGGAAATGTCCTCCCTTGCTGCAATTCATCCCCTTACGACAAACCAGCCTGATGGCCAACACACATGAAACCCCATCATCCAAAGCCAAATTCAAAACCCTCCTCACAGTTTTGACGAGAGCCTAAAAGTTTGGATCTTTTTGACAAAAAATGTTGAATTTAAGTGAGAGTTTTTAATCGTGTCCATAGCACACTTCTCCTTGCTGCAGTTATGCTTGTTTCTCATTAATATTTCAATGTGGTTGTTCCTAGAAGTGGTGATGTTTACACTTGGTTCTCCTTATATGTTTTTCTCTCTGTTGTGTTCTGCTGTACACTTTTTTTATGGCTTCATGATTTATTTGCTAAATGGTGATGTAGGTGTGCCATGGGAAATTGCTATAGTTTGTTGAAAGATCATGAAACTGCACTGAAAAATTTTCTGCGTGCAGTGCAACTAGACTCGAGATTTGCTTATGCTCATACACTATGCGGCCATGAGTATGCCTTCTATTCTCTTGCATTATTTCATTACAGTTTTCCTGTATACAATAGGACATTTGTTTTATACTCTCAGGCTGTTTAAAAAGCAGTCCCGGCTTCTACCTTGGCGGAGGCAGCTCTGAGGCCTCACAATATAGCGTCTAGGCGCTCCTATTGAATATTGACGCCTTAAGCCTATTTTGGGTGAATTGGGTATGCCTAAGCACCCTGTTCCTCATAATGGCCACCTTGACAGTATGCGTGGGTTGTTGAAATGCCTCAGTCAATTAGCCTCAATTTAACAACGCCCCCCCTCCCCCCGGTGGCGGGTGGTCTCTCTCTCTCAATGTTTGGTGGACCCCCTAATTTTTATAAAATAACCTTTATAAGACACCATGCTTAGCGTGAGTATATAGTCGTGTACCTGTAGTGCCCCTGTTTAACTTTGTTTTCTTTAACCCCGAGGTTTGGGCGTAAATAACTACAGCTGCTACTATTAATGTTTCATATTTATCCATCTTTTTTTATTAACAGGTATGTTGCCTTGGAGGATTATGAGAACGGAATAAAGTGTTATCAGAATGCACTTGAGGTAGATGAAAGGCACTATAACTCATGGTATGGTCTTGGGGTGGTCTATCTTCGGCAGGAGAAATTTGAGTTCTCAGAGCATCATTTCCGGAGAGCTTACCGTATTAATCAACGCTCTTCAATTATTATGTGCTATCTTGGAATGGCACTGCATTCATTGAAGGTCAGCTTCTGCTGCTGTATATACTCTTGAATTTCCATTTTGCATGTTGTGCTTCTTACTTTTTCATCTCCTCTTTTGTGTCATTGGACTTGAATTCAATGATGAGTAGCAATGCTTAGATCTTAGTTATAGATTTCTCAAGCACTGTTATACTTCACTGTTTGAAACTTTGTCTCCCTTTGGTTGGCAGAGGAACGAGGAAGCCCTGGAGATAATTGAGGAGGCTATCCTTGCAGATAAGAAGAACCCACTCCCAGTCTATCAGAAGGCTAACATACTCCTAAGTCTTGAAAGATGTGATGAAGCTTTGAAGCATTTGGAGCAGGTAAAGGAGTTCACTCCATGTGAGAGCAGCATCTATGCGTTGATGGGGAAGATTTACAAGAGGCTTAATATGCATGCTAAGGCCATGTTCTACTTTGGTATTGCATTGGACCTGAAGCCTCCAGCAGCTGATGTTGCTGCTATCAAGGTACTGCATTCAGAATTTTCTGTCTGGTCTGTCCTTTCCCTTTATTATTTCCCTTTCTTATTTCAGATGCCTAAGGTTATCTGAAATGTTGAGATCTATTAAGTTTTAAATTTATTCACGTACCTGTATGGCCTAAACTAATTTCAAGTCCAAGTTAGATAAAAACTATAGGGTTTAATATGGATTTCATCCTCTTCCCGTCTTTTTTTTAGAGAAAAAGCAGGCAAGGTGCCCTATTCATTGAAAATATATTAAAATATAAAAAATTTACAAGAGGGATGCGAACAGAACTTAAAAAGTCCCATGTCCAAAAGTTGATATAACAGTTATAATAGGATGGGGAGCGGACAAATCGTCGTCGTCACTCACCACAAGCTAGGATATAACAGTTGATAGTTCCCCCTTAATTTAGACATAAAAAAAAAATATACTAATTTTTAAACAATCTTTAAAAAAAAAACCAAAAAAAAAAAAAAAAAAAAAAAAAAAAAAAGAGAAAAGAAAAAGAAAAAGAAGAAGAAGAAGAAGAAGAAGCAGCAGCAGCAAAGCTTATATTGTATTGGCCGCCGCTAAACCTTCTTCACCCTTTCTACAATTAGCAATTATTTTTGAGTTTTCCCCCTTAACTTCGAAGAGCCATGATGTAGAAGACTCTCATTTACTACCAAAAAGTCTAAAAATTGCAAACAATTAGTAATCATTTTTTAGCTTTCCCCCTTAACTTCGAAGAGCCATGATGTAGAATTCTCTCATTTACAACTAATAAGGGGTGATAGAGTATGATTCTGGACATTTTAGCCAATTATGGACACATGATTAAGCCAATTATGAGGTTTATAAAATTCCTTCTACTGTAGAAACAATGAAACTAAGGCAGTAAGCTATTCAAGGAGTTAATTCTTCATCATTACATGCCTGTATTTGTTGTGCTCTTTTATTTATGACCTATTAACATTTATATATAAATTTCAGTCTGCGATGGAGAAATTGCATCTCCCGGATGAATTGGAGGACACCTTATAGATTCATTTCCTCAAAACTCAGAAGGTGCAGCAATGGCTCAATTGGCTTGGCCGCATGCTTGGGCTTTCGGGCAATCTTGTGGAAAGCGGGCTTTCGAGGTACTATTGAAGACAGCCCATTCTTGAAGAAAGCGGCGGCTAACCTCTAACATTGTATTACTCGTCTCAAATGTAACATTAATCATTCAGTTTTGTAGCTTTAGTGAGTCATCGAGTGGAACATTTGTATTGAGAGCACGACTGATAATGCATGTATAATGTTTGGACGCTTACATCACAGTGAAAGCAACTGCATAAATACAGAGGAAAACATTGCATTGTTGGTAGATGACGGCTGTTCGCCTTCTAACCTGTAATTCTTTTACATTCTTATAAGTTTTTCTCGAGAGGTCAAATGTGTTCCATTTTATTTAAATCTAATCGGTATTGTGTTCTGCAACGAGACTTCACTTTTGTTAAATTAACGTGAGCCCTTAACCAGCTTACAGATTTGCACTGGCCCGTGGTTGTATATTATATTTAATAGATGAACTTATGGATGTTGTGTGTGAGAGGAGCTTCTGTGTAGTGATTTTGCATTCATCCTATCAGCTTATGAAGTTCAAATATCACAGTTTGACACATGGGATGAGAATGAAGAGGTTTTAAGAAAACTGAAGCTGCAGAGACCTAACGTGCAATGAGTAATTTAGAATCATCAGGAAACAAATAAAATTTCAGTTTCTCTTCACTAATTTGTGAGTTTAATTTTATGGGTTTTTAATTTATACTTACGCAAGTCACTTTATATTTTAAACTTATACTTAAACCACTTATAAAGTAAGTTTTTCTTTTAATCAACCACCTCGTTTTATATTGCTGCAAAAAAATTTCTTGAAATCCCAGTAGCACCTACTTAATTTTAGACAAGCAGACGCGGCTGATAGGGAAGGAGTAGGAGAGGAATTATTTGATTTTGAAAAATAACCCATTATAGGTAATGAAGTCGCCGTGTCCGCCGTTGAATTCATCATGGTTGATGAAATGCGATCTTAGCTTGAGGGTTTGGTTGATGAACAAAAGGGCTTCTTGCAATTGTTCCATTTAGTGGAATTCAGAGAAAATATTGACGGAAAAAGTGAGCCGGTTAACAGGGGAAGAAAATTTGAAATAAAGAGTAAAAACACGAAGAAGATGTAAAATGGATAATTTGGCAAATCTTTTAGGCCCCGTTTGTCAAAGGGTTAATGAAGAGGGGTTAAAGAGAAGGATTAATGTACTTAGCCCATTTGATAATCCGAAAGACTAAATTATTAACCCGTTAAATAAGTTTTATTTTAGCCCTTATGATCAGTTTTAGTGTTTGGGAATAACAATGATTTTGACTATTTTCTTTATAATTAGAAGGGTTAACTCTTATTCCATCTAAATAGGAGTATTAGTAAACCCCTCATTTTGAGGGGTTAACTCATTTTAACCCCTCTAGAGGGGTTAACTTAACCCTTCTATATTTTTTATGTTTGCCAAATTATGAAGGGTTAACTCACTTTAACCCTTATATAGATTTGTTGTGTTTGGCAGGTTAAGAAGGGGTTAAGTCTCCTTAACCCCTCACTTAACCTTTTGCCAAACGGTACCTTAGGGTATAAATATCCCAAATATAATTTTTTATGTCAAAATGACCAACTTTTATTAAATTAATAAAGAAGAGCTTAAATCCATCAAGTTCAGAGACAAGAAATGATGGAGGGTCCTCGACCTAATGAATATATATTTGTGATTTTAGCACTCTCCTCGGCAAACAAGTGCATTGCCTCATTAGCTTTCCCATTGACAAAACATATAGTCATATGAGCGTTATTTTTAAATATTTAATAACCTTCGGTTTTGACAGGATCCTAACCCGACTTTATTGCCACACGTCCCTCATTCTACATACTTCTTTTCTTTATTTCATTTTTAAATTTTTTTTCCAACATTTATTATTATTTTTTGTTAAATACTAATAATCAATTTTTTGGATTATTATTATTTATACTTAAATACCCGAAGTTTAATTTATTCATAACTTTCATGTCATAAAAATATAAATCTGGTTCTATGGAGTAAACTTTAAGGCCCCGTTTGGCAAATGGTTAATGAAGAGAGGTTAAAGAGAAGGATTAATGTACTTAGCCCATTTGATAATCCGAAGGACTAAATTATTAACCCGTTAAATAAGTTTTATTTTAGCCCTTATGATCAGTTTTAGTGTTTGGGAATAACAATGATTTTAACTATTTTCTTTATAATTAGAAGGGTTAACTCTTATTCCATCTAAATAGGAGTATTAGTAAACCCCTCATTTTGAGGGGTTAACTCATTTTAACCCCTCTAGAGGGGTTAATTTAACCCTTCTATATTTTTTATGTTTGGCAAATTATGGATTCACATAAGTAACTTCTTTTAATATTGTAATTCTATTTTAGTCACATGATGTGTTATTTCTAAGGGAGGCGCTACAGGCACACCCTCAGTCACATTTCCGGTCACCCACCCTCTAGCTACAGTGCATGGGGTCTCACTTGAATTTTTTTAAAAAAATCTCAAATGGGGCACCGCACTGTAGCTAGGGAGGAGGAGGGATGGTCGGAGGTATGCCCGAGGGTGTGCCTCTATCATTTCTCTATTTCTAAGGTGGACCATTAAAGAGTTTTTTTTAACGAGAGCAGGTTAGAGGTAGGTATAGTGTTTGTTTATATAAAGTATAAATTGGATTAAAATTGATTTTGTTATCCTTTTCCGTGAATGTTGATGACTGATATTTCACGACTGCTCCGGTACTCCAAAAACAAAATTTTGAAGTATTGATGACACACATTGTAAATACTTATTGTAAATTTAGCTCTCTCATTTTCTAATTGTACGCTTAAATTGTAAGCGTTTTTCTGTTGGGAATATAGATAGAGTTCCACTGACATTTTTGTAATTACTAGTTTTTACACACGTGCAATGCACGTGATTTAATACCATGATTAAGTATTTTTGGTAGTTTTTGCTCATTTTTTTCTTTAAACTCTTACATCCCGATTATTTTTTTATGTTTGTTTAAATGAGATACACCCAATTTAAATTTTCATGTTGATATTTAAATTGACAAAAAACAAATATAATTTAAAAATAATTTGAATTTTCATATTATTTTTGACTGATATGAAACTACGCTTTATTTGAGAAAGTATAGCAATTGCAAAGTGAAAAATATTAAAATAGTGTTATACAAGGAATGTGAATATTTAAAACCAATATGACAAAATGATTGATTTAAAGTATGTTAAAACAATGCAAAAGAGAATATAAAGTTTATTCCTAATCATTAATAGACTTCATAAAAAAATATAAATTAAAGATTAATGCTAACTCTAGTATATTTTTATATGATAAAAACATCCACATAAGAATATAAAAGTACTGAAAAAAATTCATGAAACTCCCTTCTAAAGATTCCTAATTTCACTCAAAATAATTAAACTATTCTATAAAATATTCATAAAATATTATTTTTATTTCTTCTATTTTATTTTTTATTGAGTTAAGATCAATCCTTTTTTAGGTTTATCATTTATCATTTCTCGGATAATTCTAGAGTATTGTCTTCATCATCTACATCAATTATGACATCAGGCTAATTTTGTATTTTTTATGCTATTATCTTTTCTAGTCTCGTTAATTTTTTATCATCTCATTTAACTTCACAAAGAAGTCAAATGTACTTATGATGTTCAGCACAAACTGCTCAAAATATAGATTTTGATTTTTTTCTATTTCAATGAGAATAAATATTAATTTCATATATATAAAATTCTTTGTGTTCCTAATTTATTACTTAAATAAATTAGAAGCTATCTCTTTATTTTCCTCTAAAATGAATTCTTTTGATGTGCATCTAATAAGAATTTCTGTTATTTTAATAATATTACCTTTGCTCTATCCCTTTCATTTTCCATAAAGATCTAAACTAAATACCTGCATTATTCATTACCAATTTCTCTTAGATTATAATATCAATATTTAATTTGAAGAACACAATATGGAATTTATGAATACTTACTAATTTTTCTTATATCTTCCATGAAGATTTTTTCTTTGATTAGGATAAAGTTATTAAATTATTTTTTAATGTAACTCGTTCAGTGCTTCATTAATAGATAGGCAAAATGGCCAGATTGGTATATTTTCTAGGGGCTTGGTGACAAGTTGGTATATTTTTTTTAAGTTTTGTCAGATTGGTATAAATTTTCAACTCCGGCGCCATATAGGCCTTAAGTTTGGCCGGAGTTACTGTTCCGACCAAATTTGATGGGATTTTTTATAAAAAACCCCTCATCAAATACAATTTCCTGCTCCTAACCCCCCTCTCCCTCCTCCTCATGTCCCCCTCTTTTTTCTACAGTGGCGACGCCGGCATCGCCGCCGCACAGTGCCCCCGTTCATGGCCAACATTTATCTGCTCTCTTCATGCCGAGCTCCACAATCCCCGTCCTCATCCTGCGAAACTCCCCGCCGTCACAGGGCATCTCTTCCGCTTCCGCTTCCGCTTCTGAGGGGAGGAGACATGTTCTCCGCTTGGTTCCAAGTGCCAAAGACAGAACCTCCCGCCGAAAGAAGAGGCTCTGGTGGCATACGTTCTTTTCTGACGACGATGATGACATTTGGTCTGGTTGGACCGCAGTTCATTTGGGTTGATTTGTTTGAAGATTTTAAACAAGCAATTGTTTATGAGAGAGTGCCCAAATTGTGTATATGTTGCCACATGCAGGGTCACACAAATGTTGAATGCTCCAAAATCTCTTTGGACACCCACCAGCCCCAAGCTTCAGGCCCGAATCCTGCCTTGCAGGATCGCTCACAATCCATTCGACGAAATGCCAAAGAGACCTATTCCGTTGTTACTCAGGGTCTTGCCGCTCAATTAACTCCCATTCTTCTCCCACATACTGATGCACCTCCAAATATGTCCACAGCTTCTGCTGAAACAATCCTCTTGGCTTCCGCAAACCCCCATCAGTCAAGGGCCAATCCCCCACCAGCAACGCTTCCTTGTTCGACAATAATGCAGAGTCCACAAGTTGAGCCCTTCGGGAGAGTGCCCAATCACCTCCCACACCGGCACTGACATCTTCTTCTCCAAATCTTGCCCCGGTCGGACTCCAGTATCATCGACCCACCGGCGCCGATCCAGCGGCTGGGTGGAGCGGCAACGGGCACGGTGACGATGTTGTTGGAGACGAGGACGTTGACTGTGTGGGAGAGGGTGGTTGTGTAGAGCACCTCCACTAGCCAGCGCTTGTGGGCCACGAGAGCTCGGACCCTCTGATCGCGGAGCTAGGTGCATGTTCCTCTTCTCCTCATCTTCCTCCTGCTCTGTTTCATCTTCCTCTCCCTCTTCCTTCTCTTGATTTGTTGGTTTGGGTTCTCACAAGCACATCCAACATCGTCACCATCACTGTATACTGCTTCCTCACCGCACCCGCCGCCGGTTGAAGAGGATGAGGAGGAGGAGGGGGGTTAGGAGTAGGAAATTGTATTTGATGAGGGGTTTTTTTGCAAAAAATCCCATCAAATTTAGTCGGAACAGTAACTCCGGCCAAACTTAAGGCCTATATGGCGCCGGAGTTAAAAATTTATACCAATCTGACAAAACTTAAAAAAAATATACCAACTTGTCACCAAGCCCCTAGAAAATATACCAATCTGGCCATTTTGCCTTAATAGATATGTCTTATGTTAATGCCAATTCAAGTGATTCATTAACATTTTCTTAATTTTAGATTTATTTCCATCACTTTCCCATTTGCAATGGAAATAACTCAATTCTTTTAAAGTTATCTCTAAATATTCTAATAGTTTCTCCATATGTAATTCCTTGTATTCTTTTACCCTATAAATATTATTAACGTCAAAGATTAAAGTTTCTAAATTAAAATCAATTAATGCTAAGGTATAATATTATAGTGTTTTATCATTTCTATGGATTTAAACATCTATCAATTAATGTTACGAATGTATTTTAGCTACCCCAACTTATTACTAAAATTATATTAAATTATTTTAATTTATATAGTGCCGATAATTTTTAATCTATAATATTTTAAAAAAATTTATCCATTAACCGGATGTTTTAATCAATTCTTATTGTTTTTGTTTACCAGTATCAATTTAGACTATTCTTAGATGCTGAAAATGGATAGTAAATCCCTAAATTAGAAATTTTAATATATATATATATGAAAAATACCAAACAATTACACTTTTCTTTGCCAAGTTTTAAAATTTTAGCCCATTTTTGTGGTTTTGAACTTTGAGGGTGTGATTTATAATTTTTAAAATTTTGAAAGAGTTTTTAAAAAAATTTACTTTTAAGTTTGGTAGTTGTAAATTCTATGTTTCATGTGTTGGTGGTAATTTTTTAAATGTTAGTATATTTCTTGTAACTCTAAAATTTTGAGGGTGTCTTTTGCAATTATTAAAACTATAGATTAATTTTGAAAAATATTAAATTTCAGCGGTCTACCAATCGACGAATTTGATGTGTGCTAGTTAAAAATTTTGAAAATTTAGAGTTTTTTTTACGATTTTTAAATTTTGAAGGAGTTTTTTAAAAATTTTGAGGTTAATTTTGGCAAATTTTAATTTTTTAGGTGTCTAAGGGTAATATCTTGAATTCATCTTATTTTATTTACAAATTTTAGAATTTTAGGGTGGCTTTTTATAATTTGAACTTTTAAATGTGTTTCTATAATTTTTGAGATATTGAGGGTGTTAATTAAAAAATTTAAATTTAAATGTCAAAAATTTTAGGTGTATCATGGTAATCTCTTGAATTCATCTGTGTTGTTTGTAAGTTTTAAAATTTTAGAATTTTAATGTGCTTGTCTGTAATTTAAACTTTTGAGGGTGTTTTTATAATTTTTGAGACATTGAGGTGTTAACTGTAAATTTTAAATTCTTTGCAAACTGATGTTAATTTTTTAATTTCATGTTTTTTATTTTAAGTTTTGAGATATTTGGATGAGTTTTATAATTTTGAACTTTTCAGGGTCTTTTTTGCAATTTTAAAACTTTTTATGGTTTTTTTGCAATACTTCATGTATTATAATATGTTATCTACTTGTAATTTCTTTATCTTAACAAACTAATATCATTTTTATGTTTTATATATTTTATTAATATTAGTTTTTTTAAATTGTTAAGCTAAACATGGTTCACATAGGATTAAGATAAGATATGATTATGATTAGGATAGATTAAGATATAAATAAAATATTCAAAATAGTGAAGGGTAATATTGACCATTGAAAATTAGAATTTGATTATAGATAAGGTAGTTCAAACTATAAAGGGGTATATTTGTCTAAAAAAGATTTTCCGAACTCGTGCTTTTAAAGGGAGTATGAAATTTCCTTGTAGATCTAATTTAGTGCTCGCTCTTTTTTTGTTTCTTCTCTGAAGCTTTCACCTGTGTCCGCTCCGTCCGTCTCTCAGTACCACCACCATAAGCCAATGCTCAACTACGTCACGAAGGTGGTGATCATCGTCGCTATCCTAACTGTCACGCCCCAGGCTCGTGATATCAATGTATTGTTTGGTCAAAATCCATTGTCAAAAAGTGCTAGCACTTGTAACACTCGAGCCTTAGGCATATCTATTTAAGCCACTTAAATATTTCACACTTTCGCGATGTGGGACTAAATACATGGAGGTCTCACAATCACCCCATCTTACATATGAGACATTCCCGCATAACATTTAGCTACACATTTATAGCTGGCAATTGTTTTGATACAATTTGGCACGCCCCGGCTCACGATATAAGCCATGAGACTCACCGAGTGTAACACATTGTTTGATTATATCTACTGAAAAAAATGCTAACACCTGATACACTTGAGCCTTGGACATATCTATTTAACCCACTCAAACATTTCACACTTTCCTGATGTGGGACTAAAAACACTTGGGGGTCTCACACTCTGCCCATCCTGGTCAGGTTTGAATCCTCATGATCAGCATTGCCTCTTCCTCGCAAATGGCGGCATTGGCCGACGTTTGTTGGCAGGTGCAATACAAGGTCGGAGAGAGGAAGCGGCGGAGGAGGGAGAGGGGCATCGCTTGTGACTGAATGGCCATTAATGTAGAGCTTGAGCTTGAAGAAGAAGGAAGATAAGGGATTGCGGAAGAGGAGCAAGGACTTGAGCTTTGGAAGAAGGGACTATTAAGTTGCAGATGAGATTTAATTGTAATAATGGAAAATTGAAGAAACTAGTTATTACCAACTCATTCTATTTAACTACCGATCAGGGAATTGAAGATGAAAAAAATTCTGAAGATTGGGGAATTGAAGATGATAACCATAAAATACCTACTTTATCCTTTTAATTAAAAAATAAATACAAACTCATTTTCGTACCTAAGCATTTTAGTGAGAACAATATAGGCAAGTCTAGTCTTTCTCAATGGATAACTTTTATGTTTTGTGGGTTATTATTAATTTCAGAATCCTTTGGATTTCTTATGTTGTTGCTCTAACTCTGGGAGTTTTCTAAAATTAACTCTTTTTTACTATCATATACAATCGTCTTTTACACATATACATTAAATTTTTTTTTTGCTTCAATATCCCCCTCTAGCCAACATTTATATCATCTGATGCTTTCAAATAACTTCTTAATAGGGGCTGAAGTGTGCAAAATGATTAACGAATAGATTGTTAATTGTTCACAACTATTTGGTTATATTCGGTTTGGTTGTTTATTTAACAAGAAACAAATAGTTTTTAGCAGTTAGTTTATAAACAAATAGAATTTAACCATATATACTTTTAATCCATTTATATTTGTTTAGAGTTTCATCTTTTATAATTTGTATTATTACATATATGGTATTATGTTTTTGTTCCATTACGTTTTGTAATAGTAATTTTGTCAAACTTAAGTAGCCCTATGTCAATTTTTAACCAAAATTTCTTTAACCAAATGAAAATATCTTTTTCATTGCGTAGTCTAATATTCTGAACTATAAATTTTAATAATCAAATAAGTGTATCATAGTATGCAATAAATGTTTGCGATTATTCATAAAGAATTTGCATTCAAATTCGAGTGCGAAGAAATTCATAGAATGATATCTGAATTTTTATTCTTATTCGAGAATTATAAATGAAGACAATTATGAATACCACGGTATTGGATACAATTCGTTTCTAGCCCTACATGAATCTGATGTCATTTAGATATCATTGAGGATGTGCAAAATTAACCCAAAACAGTTATTTTGTGCAAAGTCACCCCAAACTTTGCATATTTTTTTTACTTTGATATCCTACATCTTGGCGTATTAAAATGTCAACAACAATCTTTAGAATATCAAAGATCAATAATGTATAACCTTTAGAGTACCAAAGAGTCGGTAAAAAAAACTTGGCTTATCAAGTTATAAAAGGCGCATTATTTAGTATATCAAAGCATGGGAACAAGAACTTTGAAATATCTAAGTTAAAAATGATGTTTAGTTGATCTGGATTCATAAGATTCCAGCAGGCCTCACGAGGGCTAAATAGCACTTATATATTTATATATTCTATTGTTTCGCCTACTTGTCACGTATATACTCTACTTACATTTGGTAGTATGATAATACCATTATTTTTTTGAACTTACACTTATATGTCACTTATTTTTAGTAGCATTTATATACCCTAAAGTCTTTAAAATTGGCACTTAAAACGTCCCAAAGTTTTTAAAATTGATACTTAAATATCTTAAATTTTTTAAAAACTTGCACTTAAATATCTTCAAGTTTTAAAGTTTTTATAACTTGCACTTGAATATCTTCAAGTTTCATAACCGAGTGTATTTATGTGCAAGTTACAACAACTTTAGGTTTTCTAAGTGTTAGTTGTAAAAATTTGAGTCCCACTAGGGGCACACCCTCAACCACACTCCCAACCACACCCCCACACTCTCTATAGTGCTAGTGGGCCATGCATGATATTTTTAAAAAAATATCATGCATGGCCCACAAGCACTATAGAGAGTATGAAGGTGTGGTTGAGAGTGTGGTTAAGGGTGTGCCCCTATCATTATTTTAAAAATTTTAGGGTGTTTAAGTACACCACGATAACGGAAAAAAGTGCTGGTATATAAGCGCAATTTAAAAAAAAACGTTGGGGTATTTTTTTGTTACCACATACAGGTTGGGTTATATAAGTGAAAAGTAGGTGAAATAAAGAGGAGGGTACTATAAGGTACACAAGTGCCGTTTAGCCCTCATGGATGGTCCCAAATCCAACTGAACCGGACCAAAACAGCTGAACCACTTCTCTCTTGTCTGAATCCAAAATCTTAATCTACGACCCCAACGGTCACTTTTCCTCCAAAACATAATCTCACTCAACGGTCACTTCCCTCTCCTCCCCTTTACAAACCAATCTCCTTCTCTTTTTCCCTCTCGAGAACAACTCCATGAAAACAACAAAAGAAATGATAATAGAGCGCGTTATAACGATAGAGTACCTTGACCCCTCAATGTCCCAGAATCTCCTCTGCAAGTTTCCCGATGACTCTGCATTTGGCTTCAATTACTCTGAGAGTGGGATCTGGTCACCACTGCTTCCAAGAGGCCGGAGTGGGTCTGAAGCATTCGGGTCCTCCGATAAGCTGTTGGGAACAAGAGGGAAGGCAATGAAGAGGAGGAGGAAGAAGAAGCTTAATGGGCTTAACAAGAGATTGGATTTCTCTCCGAATCCTAAAACCACTCCTAAAAGGGTTAGTATATATTTTTTCCCTCAATTTTTTAATTTAAATTTACAGGTTAGAGTTTGTTTGTTTCCTTTTTTTTAATTTTTTTTAAAGAATGAGATTTCGTGTTTTTTTTGTTATTTGGTGTAGGGATGGAATTGGTTGTTGAAGGCCGCGGCAAGGCGATTTAAGGTGCAGAAGAGAGCAGCTATCCAGATGATCCTGCCTACTCTGTGAACTTTTTTTTTTCATATTTTATTGGTTGCATTATGTATCTTCTATTATTTGTAGCTCATGAGATAACAATAAAAGTTGCTGTTAATGAGTTGGTAAGGACAAGATTGTCCGCTCTGTAGTTTGTCCTGCTCATGCCATTTGTTTGATCTTTAAAATGAAAAGGGGAAAAAAAAATATATCCAAAGTTTGGATAGCGAGGACTAGTTTTACATATTTAAATGCTTATATATTCTCTTGCAATCTATGCAGTAAAAGATTAGTGAGATCCAAAGATTGAGAAAATTAGTGTTTCGCTATAATCTGCAACTGAAAGAAAAAGGATTATTCGAACTTGGTAAAATTGTTGCTTTCATTAAATCCTTTCTTCAAATTTCTACACAATAAACACAAACATTACAGGAATCAAGATGACTCTTATTGAAAATTCCAGTAACGTCCGTCCTATCATTCTTGCTCATGATTTTCTCGGTAAACATTATTTCGTTGCATGGTTTAGGACAAACATATGCTGCAAATATAATTAACTTCTCCGTCACGAAGTCCTGCAATCGAAACTGGAGACTAATCAACTAAAGCTAAATTTCTGGGGATTTGACACGTGATTGAGTCAAATCTCAGATGCCTACTTAATTCCAAGACGAACTCATTATGGGCTTTCATAAGTATAACTTGGATATGGCAGATGGACAAATTTTCAAAACCAACCCATTTGACAAACTATTCCCAAAAAAAGACCCATTTCAGTTTTATTTGCAAAAACCGACCTGGTTTCAACCTCAGCGCTGAAACCAGGTCGGTTTTTGAAAAAAAGTTTCCGAAACTTCACGGGAGTTCAACTCCCGTGAAGTTTTGTTATGAGAAAAAACTTCACGGGAGTTGAACTCCCGTGAAGTTTCGTAAAGTATTTTAGAAAAACCGACCTGGTTTCAGCGACAGTGCTGAAACCAGGTCGGTTTCTCTAAATAAATTTGAAACGGGTCTTTTTTTGCAATTAGTTTATCAAATGGGTTGGTTTTGAAAATTTGTCCTATGGCAGATATTTTCCAGTTTATTTGTACTTAATTTTTCGAATCTTTTAGGTGGCTCAGTTTTGCGGCATGTGGATGTGCAAAAAGAAGTTTCACTCCTTAGATAACTTACCATCTCTTTACACCACTGCCGTAGCATTTTCAGTTTACAGCGTTGCGTTGACTATTTCCCTCATTTCTAGTTTTTGGGTCTCATATAGTCACTATTTTCTGGGGCATTCCGATTCTCAGCTTAGTATGATCAAATCTTATGTAGCTCTAGGCACCCATCTTTATAAGGTGTCGACACTCACTGTACGTTTGCTGGTGATGCATGTTAGATAACATTTAGCTGGAACTTTTTGTAACAATTTGTAGTTAATTTTGCTGTTCTGGTTAAATACTAGAGGCAAATCCTGAAGAAAGGGACCAAAAAAATTAAAAGGATAGGCTAGTTTGCTAATTGAACTGAAGATATGACCATTAACAGAGTCGGATCAAAATGATTTGGAGTTATTGAAGCTTTCTTATTGCCTTTTTCTTTTAATTGGGACCGGTATGACAATATACCTGACCACAAACATATGAAATTTTCGACAGATTGCATATATTCATTCTAATGCTTTTTTAATCTGGAAACAATCAACTAGTAATCACTTTGTGTCTTCTTCTAATTCTAATCTAAGGTCCACTTATCGAACAAATTCATCATATAAGGAGCGTGAAACTGGGTTATACGAATTGTCAATCCTTTTCGATCACGTCGAAAATGAGACAACTATTTTCTTCAATTCTCTTCGTGCTTTTTTTCCTTTCATTTTTCAGTTTTTCTATTCTAACCTCCTATAAAAGATGGAATAAAACAAGTATATGAGAGGTAATTGCAAAACTTTTGTACTTCAGGAAAACTGTATATATGAAAAGTGTGCAGAACTTTATCTCTTTATATCATTCACTAGCCTGTTGTGAGCATGATTTGTATTTTGTACTCCAGGTATTGGTTATGGACTCGTAGGAAAAATGAAATTTGGGGTTAAATTGTTTACCATTTATCACAAAGAAACAAGAGAATTTGCGGATGCTGAAATTACACACTTTTTCCATTGAGTAAAACCTCAAATTTCTGTTCTATAAGAAAAGAGTACAGATACACGAGCAAACCAGATTTATTCAAGAAAAAGCTCCCTCATTTCATGAAGCCATACAGAATACAAATACATAGAAAAACAACAATAACCAATAACAAACAACTCACAAAAAATCTCATCTTATCTTGGCCTAGGCATCTGGACACTGATAATCAGAAGGAAGATGCTTCCCACAATCTACCAAAACCTCAAGAGCAATAGGAAGCAGTATGTTTATATTCAAAACTTTAGCCCTAATTGCTGTGCACAAGCATAGTGCTGCATCTAAGTCAGCTAATCCTTCAAGTAACGGGCAACAAGCTCCTGTTGTACCCGAACCAATTCCAATGTGCACTAGACCACCTAACAAGTCAACACAAGCATCAAGCTTTAGGGTGTTTATCGGGCATCTATGTGCGATTGGAGGAGGTGGGCATGGTACATTAGATGGCGGTGGTATGACTTTTGGTGGTGGTGGTGGTGGTGGGCATGGTACATTAGAGGGCGGTGGTATGACTTTTGGTGGTGGAGGTGGTAGGGCTGTAGGCGGCGGCGGGCGGTGGCGGTTTGATCTTTGGTGGTGGTGGTGGAGGTTTAAGCTTTGGAGGTGGTGGAGGAGGCTTGAGCTTTGGTGGTGATGGTGGAGGTTTAGACTTTGGTGGTGGCGGTGGCGGTTTGATTTTTGGTGGTGGTGGTGGAGGTTTAAGCTTTGGAGGTGGTGGAGGAGGTTTAAGCTTTGGCGGTGATGGTGGGGGTTTCGACTTTGGTGATGGAGGGCAAGGGACTTCTTTTGGTGGTGGAGGCGGGGATGGAGTCGGATAAGGGCAGTAGGGGCAAGCTGAAGAAGGGAGGAGTGATGCAAGATTCAAGAAAAGGACTAGGATGCTGGCAAGAAAACACTTCCCCATTTTGTTTTTGAGAATGTGTGTGGTTTGCCTGGTGCCCTTGTGTAGCACTGCGTATGGATCCTTTTATAGCTGAAATACCTGGTGATTAGGTGGATATCCTAGTGGGCGAACTGATGTAGAGGAGAGAAGGTGCTATTGACTTGTGCGAAGCGCTGCAAACCAAATTAACCAAAATGGTAAAACCACTAGATACGTCTATCTAAATCCAGAGCTCTTTGCAAAATTTTCCAATGTGAAATTAGGACTTACTCATGAGCAGTTGGCAAAATCTGATCACTTCCTCTGCATTAGATCGAATGAGTGATCAAGTAGCACCAAAACCAAATGACATTATGTGAAGCCTTTCTATGGTCTAGTCTTGTTAGCCTGATTAATTTTGTTGTAACTAAGCCACACTCGCTTTCTGAATTTGAAATTGTTATAAGTTGCCTCAAATACTCAAATTGATATTGATTTGGGAGTTCCTTTTTTAGCTTGGTTTGTTTCGATCAAGAGTTCTATTTATATTAGACTTTGCACAACCAATCATATTAGAGGTTTATTCATACTTGGACTATTGTTGGATTTTAGGACATGTGAATTTCTATTCCTATTAGAACTCTTATTCCTTAGACAGAAATGAGCTGGGATCTTTAAGACTATATAAGTACAATGTTTCAAGCCAATTAGATGCATCAATCTTCAGAGCACCAATCAAGAAGAGAGAGTTCTTTTGTGAAGCCTATTTGATATTCTTCTCTTTTGTTCCTTTAGTTGAGAGTTGTATTAGGCTTTTAGGGTGTTATTTGGGATTGAGAGATTCCACTTTGTATTCCTCACAATTAGTAAAGTTTTTCTCCTCCTTTACCCGTGGATGTAGACTACAAGCCGAACCACGTATATCTTTGTGTTCGTGTGTTATTGATATTTTTCGTGCTCTTGTGTGATTGATATTAGCTTATCCTGGGGAATTAGTCATAACAAATTGGTATCAGAGCCCTTAGCTATCGATCGGACAAGAAGATGACGACAACCACTATAAAGTGGGATATCGATAATGATATCGTGCGATTCCACTATACTGTTTTACACCCCTATTCTCATGCTATCATGAGAATCATCTATCCTCAAGCTCACATGAGTGTTTGCGGAAAAAGTTGCTGTTTTCATTACTGCATTCATTACAACTTCGATCGTTACAATGAAACAAAAAGATAGTCTTTTTATAAGACCCTTGCACAATGAAAACAAAAGAAATACAACTCCTTTCAAACAAACGCAAGATCTGTTTGTCATCTCTTGCTTGCGTGGGTCTTTGGCCTGTGACGGGGACGTTGATATCCGTGGACCACCGGGCAATCAGATCCGCTCCGAGAAAATCAGGCAGAGCTTCGTCTATCCGCGGAGGGATATAGAAGCAGAACTTCGTCGATCCGCGTGAGATCTAGAAGCTATAAGCGTATACCTCGGCTAAAGCGAGGTAATAGCTCTTCTTAGTATTAACGCTAAAGGCTAATACTAAGGCTCGGACGGGTGATGAAGGCTCTGATCAAGACCTCTCCTCTCCTCGTTGAAGCGCACGACCACTCTTCACTGCAGCAGGGCTTCGCCAAGGCTCTCCAAAAATCCTCCTCAAATCAAGGCACCAAGGGGGTCTATTTATAGCCTCTAGGAGTAGGTAAGGGGGGTCTAGGGGACCACAAAAGGGCGCGGACACCCCTGGTGTCTCGGCCATGGCCGAGACACCCTTGGGGTGTCTCTGAAGGAAATCGTGCTATGTCTACATGCATAATACACAGCGGAAGACATGTATGTACAAAAATACTAAGCATGTAGAGAGCATGAAATATTCATATGGATCGTCTAATTAAATCTAACATGATCCTTATTATAAAGTGAGCATACAAGAGTTAGAAAGTCATACTTTCGTAGCGTGATTCGATGGAAGATCGAATAACCCCTAGCTCTTGCTCCTTGTAGTAGAAAATCTCCTTGTAGTGGATCTCCAAGTCTTCAAGTGAGCTTGATAAAATGGGAGTCTTCTTAAGACACAAGGCAAGATATCCACCCCGGGGTTCTTAAAATCCTACTACTTCCTCTTGCTCAAAGATTGCTAAAGTTTAGTAAGAGGAGAGCTCTCTTTTATTCTCTTATGAAAAAAAAAAACACTTAGCCAATTTTTCATTAACCTTTCCATAAGAAAAAGAGCTCATATTTATAGAGTGAAATGTGTTCATGATATGAATGACTCATCCTATGAGTCATGCAATGAATCATCAAAAATTAATGATTAATCAAGTGAGTCATGCAATGAATCATCTTATGAATCATTACATTTCAAAACCATGTGCTAATAAACCATGTGCTCAAACCATACCACTAAGTGACTCATCTCATGACTCATTATACATGGTATGTGTATTTCATAAATGAGAATACCAAATTATTATCACTAATACAGTATTTCATAAATACGGTATATAGTATTATTCCAATCTTTAACTAATTAGTCACTATATGACCAAATAAATCAAGAGTTGACCAAAAGTCAACTGTTGACCAAAAAGTCAACTAGTTGACTAAAAGTTAACTTTATGGGAAAAATACTGGAATTCATTTCCTAAGCACATAGCATTCCGATTTTACCGATATACATAACCGTTTATGTGTATCCGGAAGAAATCATATATGCGTATCAATCATACGCATCACTCCATAAATTGTGTTTCATAGGATTCAAGTACGCGCTTGGTGTGACTCTAGGGCCCAACTTAAAAAACTCGGTAGTGGATCATATCCATAAGTACAACAGAGGTGCTAGCTACACATGAAGACCACCCGGGTATAAGTTGTGATAAAGGTCTGCAAGATGCTTATCCAATTTTATCAGGACCACTCAATGATAATACCGTACAGTCCGGTCTCTTCGTCAAACCATGTCAAACTATTGAGCCTAGGGTATGGCAAACTGTCAAACCCTAATAGCTTGATTAGTGTTTATTGATATTAAACTCATAACCTATAAGATCAAACTGACACTCAGTTTATCTTATTCACCTTGGCCAAGGATTTCCAGGCTATAGTTATATCAAACAATCTTATGACATCAACCCCTATACTGGGAGAGACGAATCCCTTCTTGGCATCTCAATATCTACTTATGTCTCGGGATGTACCCAACAAGAACCGTTATGCACAATTCAATAAGAACTGTGGTTAGGTAAAAGTCTAAATACATCTTTACTGACATATAAGATATTGCACTCATGCCTCAGGTCAAGAGACTACTATGTACTATATCACTTGAGAACTTCTATTTGACAGTTAAGTATATTACCAACTAGATGTTCTCGGCGAGTCGTTCAGTCAACTCATTCACTAATGAGTCACCTGTATACTGTATCTTGATGTCTCACATCAATGATCTAAGAGATTGATCATCTCCTTCAAAAGGAGAAATAAAGCATACACTAGTCTAAACCAAAGTGATGATGTCCTATCTCAACACTTCATCAACTAGGAACATTTTAGAATATACGTTACCGACTAATCAGATCTCTTCATTACGATCACTATCCGAAATGTCTGATAGTCTAGTATTTATTCTAAGGACATTATCTGTATATTTAGAACATCAGATAAATCTGACCAAAATAGCATACTATCATTTTGAACAAGGATGTTATATACATATAGGTCCTGTTACAATATACAATAATTGCCTGCAGGGCACCTATATCTAACAAACTCCCACTTGCACTAAGGCCAATTATAGTATCTAATACCCAATAGCTCAACAAGTTTCTCAAATTGTGAACGAGCAATTGCCTTTGTGAATGGATCTGCTATATTATCTTTTGTGTCTACTCTTTCAATCTTGATCTCCCGGCGATCAACTATCTCCCTGATCAAGTGATACTTCCTCAGAATGTGTCTGGACTTATGGTGAGATCGGGGTTCCTTTGTCAGAGCTATTGCAGCATTATTATCACAGTATAAAGGTACTGGATCTTTAATGGTGGGAACAACTTCCAGCTCTAAAAGGAACTTCCTCATCCAGACAGCTTCTTTAGCTGCATCATTAGCTGCAATGTATTCAGCTTCCATAGTCGAGTCTGCTACTGTATCCTGCTTGGAACTTTTCCAGCTGACAGCTCCTCTATTGAGGGTGAAAACATATCCTGATACAGACTTACTATCATCGATATCGCTCTGAAAGCTTGAGTCGGAAAAAGCCTCCATTCGGAGGTCACTTTTACCGTATATCAAAAATAACTCTTTAGTCCTTTTAAGGTACTTAAGTATATTCTTGACCGCTTTCCAGTGCTCTTCTCCATGATCAGATTGGTATCTACTTACCAAACTGAGTGAATAAGCGATATCTGGTCTAGTACATAACATGGCATACATGATCGATCCTACTGCCGAGGCATAAGGAATTAGACTCATGCGTTTCCTCTCTTCATCAGTCCGGGGAGACATCTTTTTAGAGAGGGAGATTCCAGGAGATGCAGGTACAAAACCTTTCTTGGAATTTTCCATGCTAAACCGTTTTAGCACTTTGCCAATGTATCTAGATTGCGATAATCCTAACATCCTTTTAGATCTATCTCTATAGATCTGAATACCCAGTATACAGGATGCTTCACCTAAATCTTTCATGGAAAATCTTTTTGATAGCCAAATTTTAACCGCTTGTAATGACGGTATGTCATTACCGATTAAGAGTATATCGTCTACATATAAAATAAGAAACGATATAATACTCCCAATTATCCTTTTATACACACATGGTTCATCTGGATTTTTGATGAAACCAAACTCTTTGATAGCATCATCAAAACAGATGTTCCATCTCCGTGATGCTTGCTTCAGTCCATAAATAGATTTAAGCAATCTACATGCTTTTCCACTGCTCCCACTAACTACAAAACCCTCTGGTTGCGTCATATATATGCACTCTTCTAAATCACCATTTAGAAATGCAGTTTTAACGTCCATTTGCCAGATCTCATAGTCATAGTGAGCAGCTATAGCAAGTAGGATCCGAATAGACTTGAGCATAGCCACTG